GCTAACTAGATGTCAGTCGCTTTGAAGTTTATTTCTGAATTTGTTCTGTTGAATATCCCAGAGGAAAATACTGGTAGGATTCAGAAACATGGTGATGGAGATGGATGTAAATAGAGTACTAGGGACACAAAGATGAAAGGAGACTGAAAACGTCATCCAGCAGAAGGAAATGGGTGGACAAGTCTAACACAGCTTTAGATAGGACAGAAACCTGTAGAGTATTTATTGAATTAAACACTTTTCTAGTTATGATTACCTACTCGCTGTGGAGATGAAGCTACACTTGGCTCTGGAAAGGCTGTTTTATTTCCTCTGTATGCCTTCGGGTCACAGCTGCCGCAGGGAAGCAATACAGGGTTTGGATCCAGTTAAACCTGGTGTGAACAGGTCTGTCAGCGGTGACACACTGTATTGTAGAACCTAAGTCTGAAAGAAAGACAAGCGTGATTCCTATCCCGGGTAGTGAAAGCCGGAGATCTATGAACTGACACGGAGGCACACAAAGAGACAACTGAAAAATATCCTAATCCTCCTACCTACCCTTTCCACCCCTCCACTGTGGCCAACACGAAATATCCACTCAAGAAAAGGTCTAATAGTTATTAAAGTACAGGATTTCTGGGATCTGTTCTGATTTGATTGCTATTGTGCTATGTGATCCCCTGCTTCCTTCCTTGACAAGCCCTTTCCTTCCTTTTGTAGACCCCTAGGAGCCAAGTACCTGGTGTTAGACAAATTGAAGAAGCATGTTGACAACCGCAGTAAATAATCCTTTTTTTTATTTCCAGATATTTTCCCAGTGCACGGGATGGGAGTATTTCACCCATGCTTTGGTTTTAAAACAAGGGTTCTTGAAACATTTTACAGCATGGAAATCATTGGGAGAGACCCTGAACTGTTCCCCTGGGGACATGAAACTTACCCTTTTCATCACGAGAGACTGCAAAATCTAGAGGAGCCTAGCGGTATAGGTGGGTGATGAGGGCAGAACAAGAGGCAGGCTCTATGACTGCTTGCTGCGTCTGTGTTCCTGCAGTTCGGTTTCTCCAGACCCTGACAACTCATCACTCTCTCTGGCCACAGCTGTCTGAATTACTTCCCCTATGCACCCATTCCAAGTCCGGAGTAGGACTGGCCTACTATTTTCACCGTATTTATGGTGTTATTGCCAGGGACCCACCCGAGCTAGGGTCCTGGTTGTACTGGGGTCTGTGCAATAGTAGAAAAACAAACAACCCGCCACAAGGCTTTACAATGGAAAAGAAAAGACAGAGGTGTAGCACATCAGCAGAGTAACTAGGATGAGCTTCACTATCGTTTTAAGTGTGTGGGGGGGGTGTTCTTGGGAATGGCTAATTAAATGGTAAGAAAGGGAAAGGAAGGGGGAGAGCGAAGAAGATTGAAGGAGGGAAGAAAGGGAAGAGTAAGGACATGCAAATCTCCTGGGATAAGCACATTTTCCCAAATCAGGGCCTTCTCTGCCTTTTCCCCTTGCAATATCATTGTGATTTTGGAATGGGAAGATATGCCTCTGCTTGTTTCATGGATTTGTAATTATGACACAGGATTGTGCCTTGAGCCAGCATTGCACCCACTGCATTCCCATGCTGCACTTGAGAGGTGGAGTCACTCTTCATGGGAATGTTTTAAACATATCATTGCTAGTAAGCAGTTTCTTGACTTCCAAAAATAAAATAACTTGGCAAAAAAAGAAGATAATCCTCATCAAGAACCTAGAAATCTGTATGGAGAAAGCATGTAGTTCTGTGCATCACATGCGTAGATTTTTATGAAGAAAAAAGGAACCACTGAATTAAGCAAAACCAAAATTCTGCAGAATTCACTGGTAATATCTGTATTACCAGATATTACCAGATATAAATGATCTGTAAATATTCATGCCAGTGTTCAGGTAAAAGCATTTCACTTCAGAATCCTTATCTGTTGCAATGGCTAATCAAATTTACCCTTAAGAAAAAATTAGATGTCCCATTTAAAGTATCACCTCAGATGTGATTACTAGTATCTCTTCAATGTTTCTGCCTTTCTTTTGATTTTCCAAAGTTTCAGATAAAACAGTGTTTTCTTTGACATGATTAATAAAAAATGCTTAATGGCTCTGAAAATTAATTATGATAAACATGACTGTGCAACTAAAGGATTGTTATCTATTCTTATTTTTCTAAATCTGTGTCTGATTTAGAGCCAGAGGACCGGATTCACTTTGTACTTGCATTGGAGCATGTGCATCAGGATATCCTTACTAAAATCAGAAGTCACAGAGCAGTTAAACTACTGCAGATGAGACAGGAGAGGCCTCCAATCCACTGCTTCGGGAGCCACGGAAAGTATGTTTAATGTACTGCAGGAGGAGACATTTGCTTGTAAAAGTTGTCGCTAGCTAGCGCCCACCCAGGGCAGCATTTTATGGCATAGGGAAGAGTTTATGGCTTCAGAGGGAGCGTTCCCACGGAAAAATTTTCCAGGGAGAGAACTCTATTGCTGTAGCTAAGTTAGCCTTCAGGAAGGGATTCCTAATCACTTAATCTGCTGCTTGCTTTTTGGAGAGATGATGACGAAACAGAGTGAAGACCACCGCTTTACAGTGCGAATCTGAGTTAAAACAGGTTGACAGCACAGTGTTTTTTCCTGCTTGGAAGGAACCACAATGATTCTAGTTTCCCAAACAACTGTGCAACATGACCACGTAACTTTCAATAAGCAGAAAGGTACGTACTAACATAACATTAACTGCTGCAATTACAATACCAGGAAGTAATATTTATAAAGGAAAATGCTCCAGTTCTTCTTAGCAGGAAATCCACCTAATGGTCTGCTTGCTGCCTTTTGGGGAAGGCATTGCTTGGATGATGGAGGCATTAAAGCATCGGCAAGCCACCAGTCTTGTGATTTGAAAGGGCGAGGGGAGAGGGAAGTGACTCATGGCTTTGGAGACAGTGGTGCTGCTAGCAGCATGGTTATAGCTGTGGGGCAGGAGTCCGGTACTGCTAAGCCTTACCTGCCTTTTGTGAAATACGGAGGCCGCGATGGGAAGCAATTAGCACAGCGCCCTTTCCTGGGAAAGGGGCTTTTGCAGATATCAAAAGTGCTGTGGGTTGTAATTCCGAGGGCAAACCCGCGGCAATAGCGTCCGGTTAACTGCCTTTTAAAGGAGAAACGGGTACGTCAATTTATTTTGTGAGCGGCTTAACCGTATTAGTGAACCTCATTGATTTTATGGTAGAATCGGACAGCTATGTGAAGGCTGCTTCGGTCTAGAGGCAACTTGCGTTCCCGACAACGCTTTTTTCCCTGCTCTTCTTCCGGAGGAACAGCTGCTTTTCTGCTCGTTTGCCACAACAGCTTTCAAACGAGTCGCCTGGCGTCGAGAAACCTCCCCCCCC